GGGCGGAGGGAGGGCGGCCCTGTGGGAGGGTGTGTGTACTGGTCTCCCTTGGGGCCCACAGTCTCCACCCCCGGCCCCCCACGTGGGGGCGGGGCATAGGCACCCCTGGGTCCGTGCTGGTTAACCCAGCCCCACGGAGGCAGGCGCAGTACCGCCCCTAGGCCCAGTTCAGCAGTGCAGGTCTCCACCAGGTGCCCATCACCTCCTCCAGGGAGCCCTCCCTGAGCCCAGGCTGGGTCAGCTGCATCCTCACCGACCTGGCTTTTGCTTGCCCATCCCTTCCTGCCATCTCCCTGCCATGAACAATAGGGGCAATGGGACTCACCTCAGCACCCTTTCCTGGTCCTGCTGTCTGGGCTTCTCCGGCCTGGGTCTTCTTGGCCTGCTCCCCCACCTCCTCTAGGAAGCTTTCTGGTGGCTCTAGTGCTATACCAGGTTCTAGGGTAGAGGCCTCCTAGTCTCAGGCCAGATGCCCTGAGGGCCTAAGCCCAAGAAACCCACCCCCAACTGCCCATTCCTGGGTCCTGGTCATCCTAACTGCTTCTATACCCAGAGGGCAGCAGGTCAGGCTCTGGCGAGTGTGGCCTGAGCTGCCTCATTCCGAGGATACAGAGGCCTCTCAGATCACAGACAGGGTCCTGGGGGATGGGGTTGGGGGGACAGCAAGGTCAGAGCGGTGATTGTGGCTAAGCTGTGCTACTGCCTCTGATGGAGCTCAGGTTTGGGGGGGAGGGGGAGCTGGCCTCTGCCCCACAAACCTATTGTCCCTGCGAGGTGTCCAAACCACAAATCTGACATACCCTCCTCTGCTCCAAACTGTCCCATGGCTCCCCAGTGCCCTCAGGAAGAAGCCTGGCATTTGGTGCCTGGGGTGACCCAGCCATGTTCCCCATCTGTGCTCCCCCTGCTGGGAGCATCACCATTTATCCAACTCTCAGGGGTGTCCTGTGCCTCTGTAGCTCTCGCACCCAATTCTCCACAGATACCCTGCTCACCCCCCAAGGCCCAGCCAGCACAGCCAGCTCCAACGGCCCCAGACCTGCAGACCCCCAAGAGGAGGGCAGGTCTGGAGTGTCTGGGTGCCCATCCTTGCCCATCTCAGGGGTAGGCTCCAGCCTGAACTCCCCTGACCATTTGGGAGCAAATGAACACCCCAGCAGAACCCAAAGCCTTGCTCATGTTTAAGTCTTTGGTGTGAGATTGAGTTTGAGCAAATGTTCCAGGCTTCCCTGGAATCCAGTTCTCCCCAGTCTCAGAGTCAGGAGAGGTTCTGACAGGTTTCCTGGCCCCTGCAAAGGGACTCTACCTAGGCTCTGCTCTGAGGATGTGTGTGAGCGTGGGGGCTGGGCCACCACTGAATGGGAAGGCTGCCTGGAGGAGGTGGCTCTGGGCAGGTGTGAGAGGAGACAAGTGCCTCCAGGTCATGTGGGTGACATGGAGTGGGTGCTTTGCGCCCTGCCCACTTCCCCTAGCTTTCGCTGCAGAGTCCAGAGAACAGGTGGAGCCACCCCCTCCATGGCGTTGTCAGTCCCCACCCCAGCCCTGGGGGTCTGAGGTGTCCAGCTCTGACCAGAACCCCTTTCTCCCTCTCCCTGAGCCATCTGGATTGTGGTCGGCCCTGCCTGTGGTCCTTGCTGGGCCAGGACCCTCTATGGACCCTACCCCCCCCCTTAAGACCCAGAACGCTAGGGCCTGGCCAGCAGGTGCAACTGCGCTGGGTGTCCTGTCTGGACCTGGAGTGCCCCTCCACAGTGGGGCAACCCCTGCAGGCAGTGCTCCATTGCCCCCAACACCCTGGCAGTCAGGCCACGCTGGGAGAGGTGGCGGTGGGATGGGCGCTCCCTGGTGGCCATTAGGGGCTGCAGCAGGGACCCTGGAGGGAGCCCAGCCCTGGGACACAGAAAGGAGAAGGGAGGGCCCCCAACCCTGCCCCCCCACTTGGCCTCCTGCGGTGATATTGTCCCATCACCTTCCTTAGAAACCAGGATACGAAGTTCTTTTCATGTGCTCCACCTCCACCCCTGCCAGGGTCACACGGCCAGCTGGTGTGGATGGCTGACCACCTGGGGCTTTCCAGGGGATACGGGCAGGGCCCGAGCAGGCTGGCTGTACCCAAGCATGTTTGTGGGGACAGATGATCCACAAATAGGGGCAGGCAGCAGGGACACATCCAGAGGTCAGGAGCCATGGG